CGAATTGGTTCTCAAGTTGAGCGGGGACCACAGCACACCATCAACATGACAGCAGTGAAGGGCACCCCTAAAGCTACGTGTCCGTGTTGCATAGCCTCCCCCCCAAGACATTCCGACCAATACAACATGCTACAAAACCGCATATCCCACCCGTCTCAAAACACGCCAACGGGGGAAGGTGTAGAGTGTATCGGGAAAAGTACAAACGCCTTGGAAACTAACCGACGCAAACCTTCCCCGAAAATCAATGGAGCATCCCGTCATCCCACAACCCTACAGAATAAATAGTCTGTACATGCGTTTCTCATAAAACGGGGGCACGACGATGGACGACCAGGCAATGTATACGAAATCTAAACGAACTCGCATAGTAACACATCACAACAAGTGTTCGAACCCTTGCAGCGAGTTGAAGCAACATCACCAACAACAAGTGCGAGCGATTACAGTCAGGGATTGGGGAGGCACCCAAAAGCAAAGGACAGAAACGAAAGCTGCCAACCGAATCACACTAAGCCTAAGTCTATAAGTACATTTATATTTTGTTCCACCCGCGCGTGGCCCCTTCTCCGCACCCACGTAACCCCCCGCTCCGCCCTATTCTTCGGGGGCACATAGTGCATGACAAAGGGCGGAAATCATTCTTGGCGGAGCCCAACGTTCGTAGCTGCCCGGTTGCCCGTGACGAAACGTCCACCATCACGCTGTGTCTGTGTAGCTGTCGGCGTCGTAGATTCCTGAAAATACAAACACGTAGGTTGAGGAAGCCCGAGGGTGAGTAAACGAACAGAGGCCCTAGGGAACGCGCAAGCAGCTGGGTGCACCCGCGAAAATACGTCCGCCGTCTGGCTGGGGGGTGTGCGCCAACCATGGTAAATGCCCGTTGGCATTACAATCCATGAGGATCCTAAGCCCTTGTACGCGTACAAGGCTGATCAATCTGTTCCTTCAAAAAGGGTCATTTCAGACGTTTCCGCTGGTCTGACAGGCATTGCTTGGAGTCGGCTACTCTCTTTGTAGATTGCAGTCCGGACCCTCACTCGTTTCACCTAGCAAAACATGCACACAACCATAACCTACATCGAGTCAGGTGCAACAAAAAAACAGAAAAGGCTAAGGAAAAAACACACCACACTCACCAGGGATCCAAGTGTTGACCTTTTCGGCGATAGCGTTGACGATGCCAGATCGGTTCGAGTTGATGCCCTTCGCCTGCAGCCAGTACCAGAACTTGTCGCAGTGCTCCACGGAGTCCACCTTGGAAAAAAAAGAAACGACGCAAACAACATTACGCCAATAACTTTCGGTACGCCCACGGCTAAGTGAAACCTACTACTACCAGGTACGGCCTTGTTAAAATGTCCGGGCCTATTCATATGTAGGTATAAACCACGAGGACACCTACGCATACCTCATGGTCGGTTTTGTCGGGTCCCCGGAGTGCCAAAAACTTTCCGATGAGCTGGTACGTGTTGGTGACCTTGTCGTCTCCCTCTCCGTCCGCCAGGATCTCCGCCCCTCTTGCTGCGATGCCAGGCACCTTCGACGATGAACAGAGAATTCGGTGTTAAAAAGAAGTCGCGAGGAGGGGGGTGCGGGAAGGGGGTAGGCAGGTTCGTGACATGAATGCAACAAGAATACCATATGGCAAGCTACCAGATACCAGCGACTTCAAAACGTAACTGGGACAGAAAAAAAAACACACGCGCGCAAGCGGTGCACGGGCATCTTTCGCCCAAATATGAAAGGGCCGAGCAATCATCACATTCACAAGAAAACCCTATTCAGTGATATTGCCACATTGGGCTTGCCGGGGAGGGTATTCCTTTGTTCCGTGTGACAGACAATCTACTTACCGTAGACAATAGTCTAAGTACGTATCATATGTGTCCACACTCTACCTACCAGCCGCCCATGGCAGATGCCGCGTTTTACCTTGTCACAGGTCGGACAGCATCAGGCATGACGAACTTTGGGAAAAGGACAAGTCTTTCGTATGAAGAAGTACAACATTACACACGTCCCTGTAAATCGCTACCGCACGCTCGTCCTCACTGCCCGAGCTGTCACAGCCAGACATTCGCCGCATTCGTCTTATCTTCTCTTCAAAAAAATCACAACCAGTTGTGGAGATCCCATTTTACAAAGGGTACAATCTCGTAACAACTGTCCCGGACGATTCCCTCCTTTCACATTGGTTGAAGTTGCTGAACGTGGAGCACCTCACCTCCGTGAGGTCGCCCGTGACGGTGGAACGGATGAACTCGGCGAGCTTGTCGTCGCTGACCTTACTCCGCTTGGGGTCATAGCCGACCTATTCGACCAAAACAGAAAGACACCAACCGATCAACCGAGGGTGGGTGTGTGGCGTGACGCCAAAGGAGTCGCAATGGGACGTGGGGCGGCGGGAGGGGAAGGAATCAGTGCCGCAGTTAGAGCAAACGATCTGGGGGTGCGGGTGCGTTACATCGGCCTAGCCGCGACTGGTCGAAACAGGAGGGCAGGGAAGGCCCAGCGATTCCTGACGCTCGCCGAGAATTTCCAACGCCAATGCTTTTGCGAAGACCCTTTCAACAAAGAGCGCTGAGCAATCATCACTCAAGGGGCTGGGCTAATCTGTGACTCTGGCTCCGTCTACCGTTTGCAACCTCAAAATGTGAGTGTCGTGTGCAAAGGGAGGTGAATTTACATGTCGATGAGCGACAAACCCACAACATACGAAAGCGACCATGCACATTCTTCTCGACCGTGCGCGTCTCGTTCTTCGCTCCATTGTCGAACGCAACGATGTAACGATACAAGGTGCCCCTGCGGGAGGCAGGTGATTTGCCTCTCGGGGGCGACGCAAGAGGACATGGCCAATCAGTGCCATCGCGGTCTCATGGTTTTGGTCATAACGTTCGGTATTGCCGGCTTGCATGCAACCTGCATACAAAATATTTTGCGTTCGCATCATATGTGTGGGGTCTTTTGTTTTCTGCCGCCGTGAACTTTTCCTTGTGCACGGGTGAGTGGTTTTGGATGGCGGTTTGCTGCAGGTCCTACTGCTGTTATCCGCAGCGTTTGATCACTTTCTCTTCTCGTGTGATCGTGTTTTCCATGGTCTGCGGAACTTTTTCACGCATACTGTACAGCAACAAGGATCAAAGAGACGCTCAACGTGCCCAAGAACAGTCATCACAGATAGATATAGACTGCTACCGTACCAAACCTCTGCATATATTTGACTTTTTCGATTTTCGGAATTGAAACGTACAAATTTACCACTGCCAGAGTTGTGCGAGAGGACTTGTGTGTCGCGCGGTGTGTTTCCATGAGCATGAATAGTCTTGACCCCCGCTGTGGGTACGCATGCGCCAGTTGCCGTGTGGTGGTTTGTGTGCACAACAATCACAGTAGCAGATATGTAGGCGCGTGGGCGCGTGGCGCGTGGCGCGGGGTAAAAAAATATATATGTTTTCAGTCTTCGTGCCGTTCGAGGAGGCCTTTTATGGTTCGGATTCCCAACCCCTGAAACAAGAGCAAGTCTCAGCGACTTAAGGCGGCCCTAACGCGCACCACCGGCGTCTCGCGGGCCCCACACCTAACGGGTAATGTACCGACGGGTCCTGTGCGTGCCATGCAGAAGACAGTGCGAGAAAAAACGTTGTCCCAGCGTAGAAAAACGACTGCGAAGAGTAAAACCGTCGAAATCCTACATATACAAATACCCGTTGGCTCGCGGTCACCAGAGGTTGCCGGCTCAGCCGTAGTAAGGGACCACACCAGGCACATGGTCGAGAGACGAGGAGGAAGTGGAGCTGACTTCATTGTGCCGTTGTTGATTCACCACGTGCCAACCGTCAGCGCATCGTGCCATTTAGGGTCCTTAGTGGTGAGAGTGCAGCAAGCTTGTGTATAGACAAGCAAGCGTGCTCTCGGGGGGGTACACATGTAAACACACGTGCCCAACACCACAACAAGCAAACTGTGGCCGTTATCCAACATACACCGCTGCGCACGTCTATGCTACGGGATTGCTGCTTCACGCATCGAATGTACCCTGTCGCTATATGGTGGATTGTGTAGGTCGATTTGCGGTCGCCGGACGGGTGTTTGGCCTCTGAAGGATGTGAAGAAGGCCGAAATTGACAATGTTCAGCAATGCTGTAGTGTCGCCCACAGCAGTCGCTTGCAAGATAAACAAGAAGAGGTTCGCTCGGTTGTGAAGGGATCTCCCGCTCGACCAACGTGTCTGCTGTAGGTACACGTAAGCAACTCTTCAACGCACAAACCCATGTGGGGTACCCAGACAAATTAGCCTACACTCACCTCCACCAGACCTACCTGCGTCGTCGCACCGCTCAAATATCACGAATCCCGCTATCGAAAATAAACAAATCCGTAAAACAAGTGATGATGCTTTAAGACTACTCGCCAAGGTTCATGTGTATGGAGTTACAAGGGCAGGTATTTTTCCCTGCTGTATGTGATGAAAGTGGCCATTGGGTTAAACAGGGAAAGTTCAAGGTCGACGACAAAACGTAGTAATTTTAATACATCAACGGGCACGCCGCCTACAAACCAAAAACAATGAAGCGGGGTACACACGACTTGAACCAAGCAAACGAAATCGTTCCGTGGCCAAACTACAAGCCACAGACCAGTCGGTGCTAACGTAGCCATGCCAACCGCTAGACACGAGTTAGAACGCCAGTGTCGTGTGCCAAAGGGTTCACCACACCAGCAGTACCGCCAATATGGTGAGAAACTTCTGGCACTGACTGCTTCATTTCGGCAGTAACCAGGGTAGTCCTACCTCCTTTGCCAGTAAGGGCTCACCTCAGCCATTGTTCTTGTGACCTGTGCTATGTGAAAGGGGGGAGAGAGACTTGGGAGCAGGCCGACGGGCACGTGTGTGATGCGGCGATGAACGTGGCCACCTCCGCGCGACACAGCCGGGGTCTCGGTGGCTGGGAATAGTGGGGTTGGTGTGGAACATCAGCGTGGCCTCTCCCTGGATGCAGGTGTGTAGTAGAGCGTCGTGCACGAAAGAGAATAGACAAAAGAGACGCGCGTGCACCCACTCTTCCTCCGGCTCAGCGGAAGGTGTGTAGTAGCCAAGTAGATGACGTCCCCAAAGTCAAAATATCTCCGGAAGAAGTCTAAAATAAATACTATCGTACTAACGTAACAAATATACGGCCATTTTGTCCGCAAATGGCATTTTTGCCTGCGGATACATGGATACATGCAGATCGGCCCCTAGCACACACCATGTACAAGAAGGGTAATTCGGCACCGTCCTAGTCGGCGGGCAGGATGCGCCTTCAATGCCTTCATCATGCTACAAGGAGCGAACAGGAAAAATGCTTCTTGTTCTATTTCGTATTGTGGCATGTATGTACAGAACAGCTTTTGCCCTTTTTGCTTCATCGCACTATTGCAATTGGATCTACACTGGACGTAATCTACTCGTGTTTGTCTCCGCCACTCATCCGCCGGCGCGATGCCCCTCCCCCCCCGCCCCTCTTTTTCACAGGATGGCAGTGAAGCGTGCACTCGACAAGACCCTGTAGACTGCGCCGCCACACAACTTCGAGATCTCTGCCGGAGGGACAACCTCCGTACTCCACGTGTAGACCTTGATCGAGGTTGATTGACGACAAGGTCAAGCAACGAAAGATGTACCCATTCGCCCAGGGCGTAGAAAAACGGTGAGAAGTGAGACGAGGGACGAAAGCGCACTACTGCTATCGCATCGTATCGACTCAATCGAGCGTTTCGGTTGGGATTCGGGCGTGTGGAGGGGCTTGGCCTACGTGCCTTCTAGCCACGATTTTCCCAGAGGGGCAACATTTGAATTTGATTCGCTGGATGATTCCAAAGCGGCAACGTGTTTGCGCCAAGAGCGCGTACTCTGAAACGAGCCGTTGGCACAAGAGTACAAGTTCTCACCCTCCTTGCACTTGCGCCCCCACCCTACGGGACCTCGTGACGCTCGTGCCCACCACAACACCCCTACCATCCGACAGCTGCCGCACGGCCATCGGGCGGGCTCGATCGACTATTTCCGCTCCTGGGGTCGCCTGCCGCGCAATACTGCCTTCCACCAGTGTCCTCCCCAACTTGTGTTGTCTAGGCCTGTTCTACCATAAACACTCCCAAGCAAAGCGCGTTGGCTCTTATTTTTTGGCTTGTATCAAGGGGTACTCGGACAGCGCACCAGTTCTGCTCTAGAAGTGTTGTTGGGGTTGCAGCGCTAACGCCTTGGTCCCCACCGCTCATGTGTCCGTTCAAGGAGCAAATCTGGCACCGGCACCGACGATACCGCCACCAGGACCGACTCCCGGCCGCGCGGGATATTCGTTACGGACGACAAGTTCCCAGACGTCATACGCGCCCTGCGGCGGCGAGGTTGGACCCGGTCTGGTAACGCCAACAGCCCCAACTTCGACCTGAAATGGCGGAATCTCAGCAACATCAACTTCCGCCTTCTCCGGAAAGACCAGGTATAGAGCTGATGGTAGGCCTATCTTGTGGTGGCAAGGTTGAAGCAAGATAATGATAGAAGTGTTTGTTTTTTTTTATCTTAGCTTGATTTCCGCTATCTTTCACTCTTCCACGCTATGTAAGCATTTGTGTCTTTTCAGGGTGGCCGGCATGAAGGGAAACGCACCGCTGTCGGACGTTCTGGGTCGGCTGTCAACCCGCCGACTCCAGCGACTTGCGTTTTCCTTTCGGTTTTCGAACCAAAGGAAGTGTCGCTTGCCACCGAACTGTTCCGTCCGTATCACGAGTAAGAAAAAAGTGTACGCAGCGCGGCATATGGCTCTGTTGGAAACAAGGAGGATGCCCGCCTCCAACTGACAGCACTCATGAACGGTGGTTCCACATGACTAGCCCATGCAACAAATTGAATGTCCCCCGCGTACCGGTTCTCTCCCCTTTCTCTGGGTACGTCCACGCAGCCAGAGAAAATTACGAAGCCTAAGCACACAGCCTGCGTTAGCTTACTCCCGAGCGTCTTTTTTACCCACTCGCTGCCTCCGCTTCGCGATCGCCGCAGTTCGTTAACCACGTCTTCAACTCCCAGCAACTCAGCAACAAAGCCCTGCTGACCGGCCACCTAGCGTTCCAACATGACCACCAGCGACGCCAGCAGCAGCAGCAGCAGCAGCAGCAGCAGCAGCAGCAGCAGCAGCAGCAGCAGCAGCAGCAGCAGCAGCAGCAGCAGCAGCAGCAGCAGCAGCAGCAGCAGCAGCAGCAGCAGCAGCAGCAGCAGCAGCAGCAGCAGCAGCAGCAGCAGCAGCAGCAGCAGCAGCAGCAGCAGCAGCGGCGGCAACAGCTTTTGGAGGGCCCAGGGGGGTCAGAGCACGGCGGCGGTGTCGATTCAGTTTTTTCTCCTCCTTTCGCCTGGTCTGCCCCAGGTAGAGAGGTTTCCGACAGCAACGGCCCCAGCCAAGGGCAAGCCTGCAACAACGCGAGCGATCCCGTACCTCCAGGAGAAGCTGCCACCGCATGGGAAGCCCCCTTTCAAGCCGCCGACCCCGAGGCGTTTTTCCCGAGATGTTGGGACGTGAGCGACGACGGCGACGGGGTTTGTTCGATGCTGAGGGCGTTCGCCGTGTCGGCGGCGGTGGCGTTGCTGCGGACTGCTGTGAACGCGGAGGTGACATGGCGAGCAAGAATGGCAGCCCGGTACTAGATAGGGCGGGTTAATGACCCACGGGGTAGCCGACTCAATACTTTGCAGTAGCCTATGTATCTGTGATGCTTTTTGCGGCGGCTGGTGCAGTCGATATCACATTGAACTTTGAACCCGACTCATCAACGCACAACACTTAAAAATTGGCCTCTGCAACTAGCTACCTGCAACGAACCTGCCTTGGGATTGGTGTGTATGCAGCACCGTAGGTGACAAAAGATCCCGCAACCCCTGGACCAATTTTCAAAGCTCGACTGCCCCACACCACAATGAGGGGCGGTGCCAAAAATGGTGTTCTGGGAACCGTCTCGTCGAGAGCTTTCCAACAACGTCTCGCTGGGTTTACGCACCCTCTTCGTCGGCGAGTCCTCGAGCTTTGAATATCGGTACAGGGTGTGTGTTGTCTTATGTCACCTACGGTAGACGTGAGTGCATACGTCATACATACGTTCCTCTGCACACAGCAACTCAGCAGCAATTGGAAAGCTATTCGCCGCGAGCTGTGCGTATGCGACATCTTGTGTGGCGGCTGATAGAGGCCACGGGGCCATAGAACCCACGGAAGCCGAAGTTGCGAGAACCGGCAATGCATGCATGCGAGAATAAACACCCTGCCGCCGAAAAGGCTCTTCTTATGCATTTATTTCTCATGGCACAGGTCGTTTCCAGGTGACCACCCCCCACAGACCGAAGCAGCAGTATAACTAAGGTGCACGCCACGAGCTGTGTGCATGCTCCGTATTGTGGTGATTGATAGACGAGGAGGCTGTCGGATGCTCAGAATTTGTCATACGCAGCTGCCATCCGTATGCAAGGAAGTAAGCACAAGATGCCGAACACCCTTAGCAGGATGCAGTGCACCCTTCATGCGACTCGCCGAATACCTCACGGAGCTTCACGCTTGGTGATGTGAGAGCCTGGTCCGGTGAGAACCCGGCGTGCTCCGTCCCGGCTTTGTAGGGATGCGAGGTCAATGNGATTTTTGGGTACAAGTGCCGGTGAAGCACGGCCATCTGGTGTCGGAGCACGACCAAACTGTTGTGGTGAAGAGTGCCCTGTTTTTCTTCCTCCACGCAAACCAGCAGAGCGTCAATCGGCGCTCTACCTTGTTCTGGTCCAAAAGGAGGGCATGCTAGGCAATAGTTAATTGAAAGTTGGGCCGCTGGTAGCCAAAAAATGTTCTCCTCCTGGGATCAAGGGAAAATAGGTCGCGCTTCGCGCTTTTCGGCTCATAACATGGCGTGCTGCTACAGCACCGTGCAATGCCCGTGCTTGCAAGCACATTCCTCAGGACAATATTTTTTTCTCCCTGCTGGATGAAAATGTTAGTCATCCTGTTGAAAATTTTTCTTCGCGTGTCGACGGCCTTGTTTGTTCACCAACCTAAACAGGGAGAAGCTTGTGGAGAACGCCAAGATGGCAGCGGCGGCGGCAGCAGCAGAACGAAAGCTGTTGGCAGCGCCACCCTTGCGGCCGCCACATCAGTCGCCTCCCGGTACGCTTCTTTCCTTCAGACTCCTTTAATTACCCAACCAACAAGCGCGACGGGCCGTTGCTTGCAAGCTGGTCCTCCTCCGTCTGGCAGGGAGAGATGTGTCGGCCATAAACGCTCCGGACGGGACGCCATCAATGCCGCAGTAATTGTCGGAGATCAGGAGTTCACCACCATCCTGACGGCCTGGGAAACTGCTGCTGCTGCTGCTGCTGCTCAGGGGGCGGTGAAGAAGGTCGGGAGCGGCCACGCGGGGGGATGTACAGAAGAGCAAGGCTCGGCCACAGGAAAGGGAGGCAGTGTCGCACCGGAACCGGTCGAAGTGGCGGAAGAAGATCCCGGGTCTGAACCGCGGTTGGAGAAGAACGCCGCTCACGGTAGTACAGAGGACAGCAGAGCCCGGTCAGTGGAAGGCAGGGAGGCGGAGGAGGAAGCCATAGGAGGCAGTTCTTCCATCGCGATGGCTTGCGAGCTGTTGCGAGCGCTCGACGAGGACGGCGCCGACCCGCAGGCCGCGCTGTGCCTCGGGCCGGCGAACGCGTGGGTGGTGAAGCCGGCCGGGCTGTCGTGCGGGAAGGGCGTCGAAGTGGCGTCGTCGTTGCGGGCGCTGGTGTCGGCGTGCCGGCAGCTCGAGTGGAAGGCGGTGGTGCAGAAGTACGTGGAGCGTCCGCTGCTCGTACAGGTCAGCGTTGGTCAACAAGGCGTGCTCCGAGTCGGAACGAGTGAGGAATTAAGTAAATCACGCAGAGTTTTCGTTGTCGTCGTCGTCGTTGTTGCTGCTGCTGCCCACCGTGTCAGTCTTTTTCCAGACGTGTTTGTTGTTGTTGGTGTTTCTCACATTAGCTCTATAGTCCACAAAAATGGGGGGCCCGTGGTCTCAACACCCGGCACATACAACGCCGCGGGGAAACAAAACAAAAATAGGGTACAAACCACTCGGAAAAAGAAAACAAAATGATAGAAAGAAAAGAACATGTATCTCACCGACCGTTCGAGAATAGAGCCCTCGGAAACCGATCAAAAAAAGACAAAAACAAAATAAATATGTTGTGATGATTTTTTTTATCAACTCGCCTTCTTTGGCTCGATTAGTTTCATATCTGCGCAGTCTACCAATACACGACCAGAAGCCGTGGCACCTCTGGCTCACGCTTGTACTCGTCTGGTGCCTCGTTCGTATGCCTCCCGCCTCGTCCTCACCGCCTTCAAGGGCTACAAGTTTGATATCCGCCAATGGGTGTTGGTAACTTCCTGCAACCCCCTGGTGGTGTGGGGTTTTGAGGAGAGCTACACCCGCTTCAGCTCCAGACCCTTCACAATGGATGTGAGCTCAGCTCCATCCCCCCCCCTCGGCTTGATATTTAGTGGCAATCTGCGGGCGCTTGCTTCAGCGATGCACCAGAAAAAAGACGGCAAAGACGAGCGACGTTTGCCATTTCGCTCCGTGCACCCCTTCTCGCGGGTACTCAAAGTGTCAGGGGTATGACGTCGGCTGGCATAGCTGGGTACGTGTGATCACATCTTGGTGTAGCTCAAGTCTGTTTCTGTTTGGGTATCTGCTTTTGTGCTTTGGTCTGCGCGTGACTTTGTTGGTGAGGGGGGGACGGTATTTTCATACCGGATGGCGTCTTCACGCCCCCCCCCACCCCCGATCCCCCTCCTTCTTCCCATACACGCTCCCCAACAGGCACCCAGTCTTTCGGATAGGTTAGTGCACCTCTGCAATCACTCAGTTCAGAAGCAACAGAACCGGCGAGGGGACGAAAGCTGTGCTTCTTCTGCTTCTGCTACTGCTACTGGTGTGAATGACGACCGTAGTAGTAGCAAAGAGGCCGGCAGCGGCGGCGGCAGGGAAACACTTCCGTCAGGGTCGCAACAGAACATGTGGACCGCGGGCCAGCTCCGGCATCACCTCCGGCAACGCTTTCAGGTAGTCTTGGTGTCGCTCCTTCGTCTTGTAAGGTTGTAGATGCACCTATCGGGCGTAGGTCCTTCTTCGTCGTGAGTGGTTGCTAGCCCCTTCGTAGCTTGAACCTGCAAGTGTCTCAGCACAACGATGACAGGCGATATGGCGAGCCTTTGCAACATATTAGGGAGTGCCCTTCAGCAGTAGGCGTGATGAACGGCGGTGGTACCAACAAAGGCCCAGCGTTCTTTGTCTTTGATGCCGCAGGGACACGACGTGTTTCAAGAGGTGGTTGTGCCGCAAATCCGATCCGTCGTGGTCCAGACCTTGCTCGGCGTCCGCGAGGAGCTCGAGATGAAAGGGCGGGCGGTGGAATGGCTGGGGTTCGATCTCTTGGTCGCAGAAGATTTGCGGGTGATGCTGATAGAGGTCAACGTAAGCCCGGACGTTAGCCACAGGTGAGCGTGGCACAGAACGGCTTATCAATCGGAAGCCTCACATGGGATACAGCTGACTGCCTGCATATGTATGGCAGCACGCATGTTGCAACTACTGGTTGCGTGATATGTAGGAATACGATACAATGGACTACACTTACATTGCGGAGATCCACCAATACCCTAGACAACCTAGACCACCTAGACCCTTTTACATTGCGTGGGCGTAGAAGGGCCATCGCCCCCCCCACCCCGCCCCCCGAGTTAAAGTTTATCCTTTCAACTCTCTCCGTCTCTCTCTCTCTCTCCCTCTCTCTCTCTCTCTCTCTCTCTCTCTCTCTCTCTCTCTCTCTCTCTCTCTC